GGCAAGGGAATGGGGAAAAAATAAGAATCAAGATAGATTACATAAAGGTGCAAATTCCTCATGATGAATGTCATTATATTGTATACCTAAAATGTACCAATAAAATTAAAAAAAAAAAAAGAATGGACAAGCAAAATGTGGTATTTCCATGTAATCGAATATTATTTGGCAATAAAAAAGGAATTAAGTATGGATTCATGCTATAACGTGAATGAATTTTAAAAAACAGTGCTAAGGAAAAGGAGAAATATGAAATGTCTGAAATAACCAAATTTATGCAGACAGATTAGTGGTTGCCAAAATTAAGAGACAGGTATGGGAATGACTACTAATGGGGTTTCCTTTTAGGATAATGAAAGTGATCTAAAACTGATTGTGGCAATGGTTGCACTCTGTAAATACATGAAACCACTGACTTATACATTTTAAATGGATGAATTTTAGGTACTGAATAAACTCAAGAAATACGTCAAAATGATAACAATAAAATACACTGACTAATGGTTATGAGACTATGAATCTTGCTCTGGTTCAGTCATATTCCAGATGTCTTCCTGGCACACAGCAAAAATATATGGGACAAGAGTCACCTTTCACCTGCAGGGAAGCACAATTATAGTAACACCCCAGTGATAACCAGGTGGCCAGTTCGGTGCAAGCTTTTTTTGGAGGACAGTGCTGCAACATACTTGCTAACTTGCTGGACAGCCCCAAGATTTCTGCAACCAGCTGGAGCCCATGCAGTAACCCTTCTGCCTGCTGAATCCGCAGTAAAAGGACCTTACACTACAAAATGGATAGCACAGCTCAAAAAAAAAATCTCCTATAGCAAAATATAGGCACATTCTTTACTCCTGAACTCCTCCCTCCTTCCTACCCCTAAACAGATTTCTCATATTCTGGATCAAACACAATTAATACATATGTACATTATGAATCAGCTAGAATTATATAACACTCAAGTAGGAAAGACCTTTAAAAGTATGACACACTGGAGTACTGCCTCTGGAGCAATTTATTAACTGTGATCTTGGGCTCATTCCACTGCTCTTTGACTCAATTTCTTCATCTGAAAAAAGGGGAAAGCAAAAGCAACTGCTTCTCAAAATTGCTACAAAGATTAAATAAGTTAATCCATGCAAAATGTTTAGAATAGAGGCACAGTATAAGTGCTACTAAGTTTTTTTACAACTTTTATGAACTGGTAAATCCCATTACTTTTATGAAGGAAAGCTCAGAATGGTAAGTGACTAAGGCTGGCAGTGACAGAGCTAGTATTTCACTTCAGTCTGATTCCAGAGCCAGTGTTCTACAGCATTAATGTATAATACTTTTTAAAAATATATATATATTCTTTGACTGAGTTTTCGGTCTTGAAAGTTACAATAACGTACAGTGCCTAGCAGTCCCAATTGTGTTCCTAACATAATAAGGGCACTTTAAAGTGTTTAATCCATTCCCTTTTTAGCCTCAATTTAATCTTTTAACATCTAAGAGATTTCAACACTAAATTCCAGAGTGTTCAATGTGCTGTCCTTCAAAAGCAAGATGGCTCAGAGCTTTTTTCCTTCTATTTTTTCACTGAAGGCACACAGGGTACAAGTATGCCTAGCAATTGAGTGAAAAGAGACTTCTGTTTCTGCACTCTAGAAGTACATTCCTGAAGCAATTTAAATACTATTCTCAGGGCTTCATGTTTCTAACTTTTAGTAATTGATACTTTAATTCAAGAGGTTCATAAAATTAACTACAGTACTTGGCAAAATACAATAAATGCAGCAGGAGGATGTAACCAGAAAACTTAATACACTGCAAGCTTTTTAAAATCTCACCATTTTCTCATGCATGCACACATATACACAACCACACCACAGTGTTTAAGCCAGCCTATGAAGGCCTGTAGTAGCAGGCCTCCCACATATCCCTGCATCTTTGCTGTGTCCTCACTATTGTCATAGGACAGGTCCTCTTTCCTTTCCTCAAACACAAGGGTTATCTCTCAGTCCTGCTTTGGGGCATGACACACTGGCATTTCCTATACCTGAAAAGTTCTTCCTTGTATCCTGCAATTGCACTGCTGCCTTGGCCTCCCCCTCCAAGCCCCCAGCTAGTTTAATTTGTCCTTCAGGCTCTGCTTACTCAAAGGAGCCTTCCTCCACAACCCAAACTACCCTCCCCGTACCCCCACCCCATTACACCCATTTGGAACACACTTCTAATCACTTATCCACCAGATTGTAGGCTCAAGGAGGGCAGGAGGTGTCTGACTTGTTCAACCAGGCTTCCCTTATTATGCACAATACCCTGAATATTGTGGATGGTAAATGAAATTAATAATATTGAGGTGGGAGTATAGAGCTTGCCTAGAATGCACAAGGCCCTGGGCTTGATCCTGGCAAGACAAAAATGAATAAATGAATAAACGGAGGTAAAGAAATTAACATTCTCTCAGGACTCAAAGGATCAAGTGATAAACTGATTTAACTTCTTCAAAGCTGACACAAAGTATTTCATGAAAGCTGTCCACATGACAGAAATACATAAAGAAGGCAGAGGTTATCAACTCCTTTTGAAGAAAACTTCAGAAAAACCAAAACTTTGGATTGAGATTATATGAATTTTAAAGTTATTATGCACAAAACCACAAGAAAAAAAACTTTTAAAAATAAGCTTCAGGGGCCAGGGATTTAGCTCAGTGGTTCCGTCGCCTGCCTCGCAAGCACAAGGACCTGAGTTCGATCCCTGGTACCAAAAAAAAAAAAATAAGCTTCAGAAAAAGAAAAAGTAATGATGTGGTCATCAAAATTTATTTGCTGACAAACATGCTCTTTTGAGAGACCAACCCTAAGGAGGGTGGAAGAGACAATAATGCACATGTTCCTCCTAGGGCTATTACCATTCTTTTTTCCTAAGTAAAATTATCTCCTAATGAAAGGAATGTATTGAATCTAATTCTAAGTATATCCAGAAAAGTAGCCACTAGTGTGATGGTCATAAACAACATGGCCACAAGTAAGGGGTACGTAAGTCAAAAGAACAAGTAGCAGGATACAGAGACAGCTGCCTTTGGCAGTGACTTCAAGGTCCTTTTTCTTAGGGCTCCCCCCCGCACCACTCATAGTATTAACTACTATTTCTTTGGGAAGAAAAAGTAGCCTCTTTTCCAATTTAACAGATGGTATGGAGATCATATGAGAAAGGTTATAGAAGATCCTTTTAGTGAATTTTGCTTTAATGGGGGATACAGAAGGGGGGGGGATTTCACCACCGATAGGTACTGTACTAAGAGACCTAACTGTCCATACAGAGAAGAGGAAAAAAGGAAGAGGTTTTTAAAAAGTGAATAGAGATAAGACAAAAAGTAAGATTGTTGAGACTGAAAGAAAAAAGATAAAAGAAAAAGCCTGAGTGAAGACAAGCAACTAAATTTGATTCAAGGACATAAAATCCATACATTTAAGAGCTAAGAGACTTCAAGAGGAAAATGGCTTGGTTGAGCTTCCTCCTCTTATATTATTAACACAGTGCTAATCAGCTTCTGGCCTTCACCAAACTGAAGCTCAGCTGTGAATTATCCACATCTAATGTCATCTAATTGTTGGCATCACTGAAGGTCTTTCAAACAGGCTAGGTCTTATACAAAAAACCCCTCTCCTCACTCATGTATAGGAGTAATTACAGGAAAAAATAAACAATGCATTGCTGGCTACATCATGCACAGAAAAGATTGTGATAACTCAACAGGTACACTTCTGTCTGCGTCGTTTGCCGTGAACTCGAAGTTACTATTCCAACTCATTTTCCAGTCATATACATCCTTAAAAACATGGAGAATCACCACAATTGAACTTTTCAACAACTGTCCACGGAAGAAAGGGCGGGGAAAATCTTTCTCCTCCACCCTAGAAGATACTGAAGACACTTGTGGTTTCAAATATACTGCCGTTAAAATTTCAGATGCTTAAGTCGCCTATATTCCATAACAAAAAGTTTAATTTCAAAAAAAGTGCCTAGTACAGTTTCCAGCATATAGCAGGCTCTCATTAAATGCCCGTTGCACAAATGAAACAACAACAACAAAAACAATTTTTTTTAAAAACCCTGCTCTTTCTAAATCATCTTCTCAACTCAGGAAAAGTTCGAACTTTCTCAAGATAGGAAGAACATGCTTCCAGGAATTGGAAAAGAGGTAAGCATTTTTAAGCCACTCTGCAGCAGGACAAGAAAACAGGTGCCAATTTTTGCCTTCATTTTAGGAGAATTTCTGAGTCTGTGAAACCAAAGAAACATTCAGTGAGAAAAATAAAAAACCTTAGGCATACTTTGGAATTTTGGAACTGTTGAGCTAGAACTCTGGGTCTGCACAAATAACTGTAAAGTGACAAAGCCAAAGTGTTTGCTCTGGAACTTCAATAAAGGACCTTTCACACCTAGAATTCCAGGTGATTGCTGGGATTCACTTGAAACTTTCCAACCTGGATAGCTTCAGACAAGCCCAGCTTCCTCTGAGAATTCTAATGACTCCCGGGGGGTACCACACAGCAGGCCCTGAGACCCTCGCTCTTGGGGGTACCCAGGGCATCGCGCCTTTCAAGTCAGCCCAAGTCTGTTTGCAGTGGTTCTCCCTGACGTTCTCACTGAGCGCCAACAGAGGACCCAGTCAGAGCAGCAGGGTGACACGGTCCTGGGAGAAAATTGCCCTGGAAAACACTCCAGGCGCTAGCAAGCCTCGGTGGACCTGAGCCCGAATCCCGTGGGCGCGGCGACACCGCCCCTGGCCGTAGACAAAGGCGCGGCCCCCGCCCTGGCTGGTGCGGCACTCACCGCTAAGGTAGTTGGTCCACTTGTACAGCACCCCCTCCATGGCGCCGCGCCGGGCCGCTTGTCCAAGCCCGCCGGCGCCTCACTGACCCTGGACCCGGGAGGCAAGGAGCACCTGGAGCAGGGCCATCGTCCGGCACGACCCAGACGCCCACTGCCGGCGCCCGGGCCCGGGCCCGGTGCGGGACGCCCGGCCCTGCTCACATCCTCGGCCGGGGGCGGGGTCACTGTGGCCGGCGAGGGCCCGCGCGGTAGGGCCGGACCCGGCGTCCACAACGATGCCCAGATGCTGGGAAGGTCGGGGGCGGCCGAAGCCTCCTAAGTAAGGCGAGCGAGGCAGACAGTAGCCCGCTGCACCCCAGCTTTACCTCAGCCCCCTAGCCACAGCCCCCCCCCGTTCGACTGCGCATGCCCAGTGCGCCGCTCGCGCACACGTTCCGGAAATCCATTCCAGGGTTTCGCAGCAATGGCGATGGCCGCCGGGCTGAGGTAGCCCTAGAGGCCTGCCGGGAAATTGAGTCTTGGGTACTGGCTCCGGAGTGAGCGTTGGCTAAGGGGAGTGGGAGGAATCCCCCGAGACCGAGGTGGAACCCAGTTTGACCGTAAATGGTGCTGTTCAGGGATAGGGTCCCGGCTCCCAATGTTTGAAGTCTACTTGATTCCTTACTCTTTATTTCAAGGTTGACTAATTGATTTGACGCACTCGAGACACCCAGTAAAAGGGAGCAGTGACCCCTCTGTCTGACCCAGGAGGCGAGAATTCCAGAGTGGAACGCTGCGCCCAGTGTAAAAGGGTTTTATGTAAACTTTAAGCCTCGCTACCGGAAGAGTGGTCCTGGGACAGAAGGCACTGACACTCCTAGTTAGAAATGCAGTATCTCGCCCCAAGACCGGAACTCCAAGTCAAAATCTACATTTTAACAAGATCCCTAGGGGACTTCCTATGGAGTGCGGGTGTGAAAATGCACAGATTTAAGGATATTTGATCCGGGAAAACGTTAATCATAGGATAAGTGGAAGGAACTTGAGAAAAAGTGTGGATCCAGATTGCTTTAGGTATAATAGCGCAGATTCATGCAGCAAAATGTTAAAATGATTATTTGTGCATGGTTCTTTTTCCTCAGTGCAAGGTTACCAGATTTAGTACATAAAAGTATTTAACAATTATTGCTTATTTATCGGAAATTCAAATATTCGCCTCCTCAGTATTTTATCTGGAAATACTACTTCAGTGCTTTCCAGTTTGCTCTAAATCCACTAAAATGGACATGTATTGCATTTGAAATTACGCAAAACATGAACTAGAAAATTTAAACTAAGATGAGACTAATTCGTAACCATGATTACTATTTCTCTTTAAAGTGGAAGTACGCACGTCCTTATTTATTATTCACCTTGTACATTAAAGTCACTTATGTGGTAAGGTAGCAGCCATAACATTACGCGGTGTTGTGGAATTAATCAGATCTGATTTGAAGGCAGAACTCAAATGCTTTGGGGCCAAGGGACCTTAAGCAGAACATGTAACTGCTCCCAGCCTAAATGTATCTCCTAAATGGGATGAAAGAACCTGTCTTGCTGTTGTAGTGCGGTTGATGCTCGGAAATGCGCTTTGTGAACCCTAAAGCATCTTGTAATCCTTACAGTTCATATTGTATACTCATAAGCAATACCAGGAGCCTTGGATTATGGAATCTTGGGGGGCCATGCGAGGTCACCTGACCCTAGACTCTCCCAACCTTGCTCCGCTGGGGTTCCTTACAGAGGCACAGGTGCTGGCGGAGCTTCCGGTTAGCTCGCGCCGCACCCTTCTCAATTTCTGGCTAGTGGAATTCTTTAATCCTCCAGGCTCTAGGACCGCTCCGGACTGTTCCCAGCCTGGAGGCCGCGAGGCTCAACCCGGCTGTAAATTACCTGGTTGCAGTGTCATTGGCTGGAGAGTACTGAGCGATAGTACCTCCAGCCAATGGGAGTTCCTCCTTTCCCCAGCGGCCGCGATTTTAGAACCAGTCAAGGTCGGGTTTGGGCTTAACTCTTTAAAGTGAGTTTGCCATGTGTGGGAAAGTTGTTGGTAGTAAAAGTGCCACGTCTTCTTCTAGGAGAGAGTCCTGAGCTTGCCAGAGGCCGTGATCCTTAAGCCTATAACTTCGTTTTTAACTCTCTGCACTCGGGGACCTTCTCTGTTTTCGTTGTGACTTCTTTCAGCGTAACATGAGGTTTTTCTTGTGGAACGCGATCTTGACGTTGTTAATCACCTCTTTGAGTGGAGCTCTGATCCCCGAGCCAGAAGTGAAAATTGAAGTTCTCCAGAAGCCATTCATCTGCCATCGCAAGACCAAAGGAGGGGATTTGATGTTGGTCCACTATGAGGGCTACTTAGAAAAAGACGGCTCCTTATTTCACTCCACGTAAGTAATTATGCCTCTCAGGTAAAATAATAAAGAACCCCCCACCTTCGCCAGCGCTCCTGTAGGCAAGGTAGAATGTAGTTGGTTTTTACTTGTCTTTTGAAAACCTGAAATATCTGATTCCCATCTTTGAGGAAAGAAAATTGTGCAAAACCAATTCTATGTGACTAGGCCTTTGAAGGACCTACTCAAGACACGTGGTCCTGATAACACTGTTAAATTTTTATTGTAAAACATTAGAACTAGAATCTTTGACATTTTACATTAATATCTAGGTGTATAAGAAGGCAGTAAGTGGAAACGCTTAAGAGAGTTCTAATATTTCAAACTCCATTCCTCGAGGAAAATAATTCCATTTCGATTTGGTATAGTGACATTTATTTAAAACTTCTCACAGCACCTTCAAGAGCAAAATACACAGTTATTTGCCTCTTTATAAAAGATGTGCTAATGCTGTTTCATCTATTTAACTTTTGTTTTGACATGACATTTTGGTCAAGTGATAAAACCATGATTTCAATAGTTGTTAGTTTCTTTCTAGATAGTTATCCTTTATTCACTAGGGTGGGTATTACATGGAGACTTCATGAAGAAGTCTTACACGAAAGATTTTCAGGTGATTATATCATCATTTTTGTTCTTTAAACAAAGAAATTGTAAAGTGGAAAAGATTTACAAATATAATGATTTCCAGTTAGGCATTGCTCCCATTCATTCCATTTTGAAGGCATTTAGTGAACACTTCCTCTGTGTCAGGCCTCGTGCTGGGGACCAAGGAAATTCAGAAATTTTGGCTTCTAATCTTCCGCATCCAAGTTGGTTTCTAATCAGTCGTTCATTAGATGATATTCTATCCATCTATCATACTCATATTGAATGGCCTTAAAGTCAGGTGCTGGAGATGCAAAACTCACAGGGGAGAGGGAAACAAGAAAATGATGTTCAGTAGGGGAGAGTCTGGGATTTATTATTCCCTGGGAGGCAGGGAAAGAAAACCTTCCTGGAGATCATAATTAAGACAGGCCTTGAAAGAGATGGGGGACATTGCAGGTAGATGGAGTGACAAGAACTACAGCCATGAATCTTTGCACCTCGTCCTTGATTCTGTTTTCTGATAGACTGCCTTTATGGGCATCCAGATCTGGCCTTTTGTAGGATGTAGAAGAAGTGAGTGGCACTCCTCTCCGAACCATATTAACTCTGGGAAAAAGTTCCAAAGCAATAACTTGACATAGAATTCTCAACAGCCCTTTCATCTTGTCAACAAGGCCAGTCACAGTGGACATTAAACATATTGTGATATTACATTTTAAATTTTCAATTACAGACCGGGCGTGGTGGTGAGGCAGGAAGCTGAGGCAGGAGGGTTGCTGCAAGTCCAAGGCCAGCCTGGCTACATAATGAGTTCAAGGCCAGCCTGCACTACAAAGTGAGGCCCTGTCTCAAAAAACAAAGACAAAAATTTTTTTTTTCATTTACATCCACACTTTTAGTCCAATCTTTTAGGCCTAGGCTAATTTCTTCTGGGTCTCAAGACCACAACCCTGTGCTAACTTTGGTGTTAGCCATGATATATTATTTAGCACTGTACTGCTAATGTTCTAGTATCTGATAAAGGGACTGTTGTCATGCAGCCTCCTTGTAAATGGTCAGAATCTGCTTACTTGGAATATTATGAAAAAGTAGCATCAAATGAAAAGTCTATAAAACATGTTTATTAGCTGCTCATGGTGGAGCATGCCTGTAATCCCAGCACTTGGGATGCTCAGGCAGGAGGATCACTATGAGTTCAAGGCCAGCCTGAATGCATGAGACACCCTATCTCAAAAAAAAACACCCCAAAATAAATGTTAAATAAAGCATGTTTGCTGTTTTCAAAGCCATAATCTGTATGATGCTTAGCCATAATAAGAAATGCACCAAAGCTGGGTACTATATAGTGGTGCACACCTATAATCTTGGATACTTGGAAGGCTGAGGCAGGGGGATCACAAATTTGAGGCCAGCCTGGGCAACTTAGAGAGACCTTGTCTCGAAATAAAATAAAAAGGACTGGGGATATAGCTCAGTGGTAGAGTGCTTGCCTAGCATGTGTGAGGCACTGGATTCAATACGCGCGCGCGCGCGCGCGCACACACACACACGCACACACACATGAAATGTGCCAAACTAGGCAATAGATAGCTTCTTCCTTTATTATTTTCTAAACTTCCCATATTTTTGAAGGTTGGTGTTTCATTTCCTTGGTCATGAGGGTAAAATGAAAGAAAAGAAGAAGAAATGGCATTTACCCAGGTTTCTTAACCATGGTACCCCATGACCTTTTATCCTCACCTATAAAATATCCTGGAATAGAATGCTTTCCTTATTGCTCCAAAAGGAAGCTAACTGGGGCTCAGACACTACTCAACCCTCAAACATCCCCCTCTCCTCATAGTTTGTCAGATCGATTTTTCTCTCCTCCCCTCCCCTCCCCTCCTCTTCCCCGGGATCAAATTCAGGACCTTCCACTTGTGAGGCAGGCACGGTGCCACTGAACTAAATCCCTGGCCCTGTCAGGTTGATTTCTTACTCTGGCTTATTATCTCATGTGCCAGGACAATTTGTCTACTCCTTTCCTCTCTAGAGACTGAGGGGCCCCTTCTCTAGGCTTCTTCCATAGCCCACCATATATCTTTGCAGAGAGACTTGGGGCTGGGTATGAGTAGCAGCCCTTTGACCCATCAACAGGCTACAGCAGGAAGGTTTGGAGGCAGATACAGGAAGTTGTGCCCCTGTCTCTCTGTGTCCATGGCCATATGGACCCACACGTATTGGCAGTGAATTCTCCTTTCCCTGTCATCCTCCTTTCCAAACTCAGCCATTTTCCATTATTTTCTCCCTGGGTTACAGCCTAGTGACCTTCCTGGGTTAGTATAACTTTGTGGTTGAGACCTTGAACTTTGGAATTAGATATATTTAAGGTCAAATACTGGCAAGTGTAATTGCCATTTTTTTATCTACACAAGGGAGCAATAATGGTACATTTGGATATCTGCATCTTTGGATTCAACGAGCCATGAATCAAAAATATTTGAAAAGCGTGATGTCTGTATTGAACATGTACAAACTTTTTTCTTTGTAATTATTCCCTAAGTAATATGGTTGAAAACCCGTTTTATAGCATTTAAATCATATCAGATATTACAAATAATCTACTAAGTATATAGTAGATTACATGCAAATATTGCAGACTTGGTATGGGGGAGAGGGTAAGAGAATATCTGCTGATCAGAGGACCATTGTTAAAATTAAAAGAGACAAATTTAGGAAAATACATGGTATACAGTAAATGTTCATTGTGAATTATTTTTCTTATTCTCTCTGCCTTTCTGAAGCTGAGTCAATTGTATGAAATTTGCCTCAAGAAAGAAGGACAGTGGTTGAATTGCTATAAAGTTGATTTGGGGCTGTGAGTGTACAATTAAAGAAGAGCTGTTTTCATTAATTTCCAACCTAAAAAACTTAATAACTTATGGGTGGAAAAAGTGCAACACAGCAATTTTAAAAGTAAGTTACTAAAGAGTTCTAATGTGTACAATGCTTGTCCAGCATACACGAGGCCCTGAGTTCGATCCCCAGCACCACAAAAAACAAAAGTTCTAATGTGTTTTCTTTCTATTATAGTCACAAACATAACAATGGTCAGCCAATTTGGTTTACTCTGGGCATCCTGGAGGCACTCAAAGGCTGGGATCGGGGCTTGAAGGGAATGTGTGTGGGAGAAAAGAGAAAGCTCATCATTCCTCCTGCCCTGGGCTATGGGAAAGAAGGAAAAGGTAATTACACTTCTACATTTCTTTCTGTGAGAACTAGAGTCCTTCTCTGGATTAGGAAATGCATGTTAGAGTAACAACTGTGCATATTTTTTACCCTAGAAGTAAATAGAAGCTTTGTATTCCTTTAGAAAATATGATTATGTCTTGGTTACTAATTGAAATAACCAGTTAAAGTCATAATATCTAAAGGGCAACTGGGCTAACAATGAAATAAAAGTTCTGGAACCTTGAACTCTATTAATACCATTTAACAATATGGTGGGGGGGGGGGTTTAAAAGTTATGGTAAAATACACATGGCATATTTACCCCTTGAAACATTTTTAAGTATGCAGTTAGTTCAGTGGCACTAACGTTTTCATTCTCTCAAACTGAAACTCAGCAATTTGTTTTAACAACATAAAAAGAAAGACCACTCAACATAAGTGTCTTGATGAGTTGGATATTTGAAATACAGATTATTAAAGCACTGAAGGCAGTTTTGTGTATTAGCTGTATGTGGCTTGCAACTATGAAATCTCCCCCAGCATAACACTTATTAGGGATTCTTTTAATTCTCACTTGAAAATTTATGAAGCTTTTAATAATTTATTTAAAAATAATAGTGAATTGAAATGAATTAATTCTCCCTATGGCACAAAGCAGAGGCAAGCCGGAGAGCATCTGGCATTTAAGTGGGAACCCTTGCAACCTTCCAAAGGGCTATTTGGTGATTTGTACCAAGAGACCTGAAGATGTTTATGTGCATTCATTCTATAATTCTCTTATTGAAATCTAAGCTCAGGGGATAATCAGGTATTAAGAGAAAGATCTATGAACAGGGTACCCCATCACTGCATTTTTTCTATAGTAAAAAATTGGAAGCAGCCTAAGTGTACAATGATAAGAGTGTAAGGGCTGGGGATTTAGCTCAGTGGTGCAGCACCTGCCTGGTAAGCACAAGGTCCTAAGGTCGATTCCTGGTACCAAAAAAAAAAAAAAGAGCTTAGTTAAATACAGTGTAACCCCTTTATTAAAAAAGACATTTCAAAGGTTTTTAAAAAATTATATCTAAAATGTATACAATATAAAAGTAGGAAATTAAAAGCTACAATATACACTTATACTATGATTGTAAGTGTAAGCAAAGGTATATACTGTACATATAGAAAGTGAATCACAAGGAAATAAATTAAAATCTTAACAATGTACTACGTACTAGGAATTATAATTACTTCTGGTTCTATCTTCCACATTTGCTTCAGTGAGCATATTACTCACAATGATGAAACTTATTTAAAATTGTCATCAGAACTAGAGAGAGAACCACTCTTATGTAATACAAACAAACAAAACAACAACAACAAAACTTCCCAGCATCCAGAGGTCAAGCTAACCAAGATTCATTCCTAAGGTACAGAAGGAAGTATGGGTCAGGATTTCTAGCCCCAGTTTTCTATGAAGGAAGTAAGGTGCTATATGTGAAGCTTAACATACTCTAAAATGGAACTAGTGCCAGGCATGGTGGCACATGCCTGTAATCCCAGGCTTGGGAGGCTGGGGCAGGAGGATCCCTGTAAGTTCAAGGACAGCCTGGACTACATGGCGGGACCCTGTCTCAAAAAAATGGAACTAGCTATATAAATCTTACTCATAGGATAGGATCTACTAATCAAATGCAATTCTTATTTTAATTATAATCTTAGAAGAAAATCCAGTGTATAGGAAATATCTAGGCTTAAATGTATTATTTTGCTTTCTTCTATCTTCATTGCCTTACTTTTAATATTTATATATGTAGTATTATCCCATTAATCTGTCTCTATACTATATTTAACTCAAATTTACTTCATAGTATAGTCATCTTCAAACTGAGTGCCACAAAACTAGTTATCCTAATATATATTTAACCCTGATTTTGTAGTCTTTTAGTACCTGCTTGCATGTCTTCTTGGAACGATACCAGTTTTCTCACCTATCTAGGGCATGTCTCTTCTCTGTCTCCATCTGGAATGGTAAGCTTTGGCTCACAATGTAAATGTTGCTCTTTTAAACTTTCAAATGCTCTTTCACAGAAATAGAGGGGATGAGGAAGAGGACTCAAAAATATTTAACAAGTTTACTCAGACCTTTATGTTAAATATAGTTATAAGGAGACAAGTTTGAAAAAAATTGTCTATACTTTCCAAAAAGATTGTTTGGTTGGTCAGTAGGTTGGTTGGTTGTCATTTTTCACTACCATGGAACTCTAACAAAGCTCTTTACACTTTTAAAGATTTATCTCCCTTTTCCAAAGTTCATTTTAATTTCTCCCCTCCCATGAAATGCCTGAAATATGTGTATACTGTTCTATATCAGAGAGGATGTTGACTTTTTGAAATTTTTGAACTTGCCTGTATTATTTTTAAAGCCTATAAGAAAATAATCTCAGTAACATATGTTCTTGAGAGCTTAAGATTTATTAAGCATAATGCTGAGCACTTTATTTTTCATGGATTTTCTTCTTTTGAGAAAACCAAAGCATACATAAGAGGTGGCCAGATGTAAATTTCAATTCCAGAGTATGACACCAGGGATCACTCAATTACATGCTGCCTCCCAGTGGTAGAAGTGACCATGCCAGCACCATAGTATGTACTTCTAGACCTGGACTTTCTGACCCAAAAGTTAGCAAATCACTTCTGATATAATTAACTCTGAATTAGCTAAAGCCCTTTAAGTCATTCTTGACATATAATATATAATATCTTAATTATATTTGAAATTTAACATCCAGACTATTGGGTACATCTGTGTGTGTTTAATTGCTAAGCCAAAAACAGAATGCTTTTGCTTTATTGTTTTGAGTTATTCATTCTTTAGTCTATTTATCTAACTAATATATAACTATAGTATATAAATAATTTTAACCATATACCACAACCTTAGAAAGGCTCTTTAATTCAGTTAAAAGTCTTTTTACCAGGATCATGGTTTTGTATTAAAACTTGGGGGCTGGAGGTGTAGCTCAGTGGTAGAGTATTTTCTTAGCATGCCTGAAACCATGGGTTCAATCTCCAGCACTGCAAAACAAAAATACAACAATAACAACAACCAACTTTTAAATAAAAATGTGCCCCCTCTCTCCTAATGTCAGGTAAAATCCCCCCAGAGAGTACACTGATATTCAACGTTGACCTCTTGGAGATTCGAAATGGACCAAGATCCCATGAGTCATTCCAAGAAATGGATCTCAATGATGACTGGAAACTCTCTAAACACGAGGTGACTATTCCTTCTGCCTATAGATTTTTGTTCTTTGGTAGCTCACTGTTTAGAAATATATGTACTGAATACTTATTTTTATTTAGGGAAAATGTTTATATATAAGTTTTCTTGAAATACAAATGCTGTGAAAGTTGACTTTTTCATAGGAAGCATTGTTTTGGGGAGAAATATATTGATGTTAAAAAGCACCATTCAGGCTGGGTGTTGTGGTGCACACTCATAACTGAGGAAATTGGAGTAGTCTCAAACACAAGATTGATTTCTATTTCTACTTCTGTATTAAAAGTCAGATTTTCACCAGGTATGGTTATGTATGCCTGTAATCACAGAACTATGGGGGGCTAAGGCAGGAGGATTACAATTTCGAGTCCAGCCTAGACAACTTAGCCACTTAGCAGGACCCTGTCTCAAAATAAAAAATAAAAATGGCCCAGGGAAGTAGCTCAGTGTGAAGGTCTTGGGTTCAGTACCCAGTACCACAACCAAAAACCAAAAGTCAGATTTTCATGTCTTTTCAAAGGAATTTTCTTATGTGTTAAATCCTCTAAGAATTCCATCTTCTAGACCTATGGACTGTCCTTGATAGTATATCATCCTAATAGATCTTTGTTCCAGTACGTGCAAGACATGGGTCAAGGAGACTTACTGCCTCCCCTTGCATGGAGGGCATTGATTGACACCTACAGAATGAATCCTGGCCCACTGTAGCTTTCGCTTGTCTACATATAGCCTGTGTTGTACAGCAGGAAGATGTCAGACAGTGATTTGCTGAGTTTCTTATGTATATGGAGAACACTTGAAAAATAATCAGGGTTATTTTAAAACCATATGAGCAGTGGAAGAATTTTTAAAAATGTATTAGTACATATTTGCATTACATAATGATTGCATTCACTATGGGTAGTTGGTACGTGTACCAAACACATTTTAATTCTTATTTCCTCTTCCTCTCCACCCCTTCCATCCCATTTGCAAAAGATCTGTCTCCCTGTTTCCTATTGTTCTCTTTTATTTTGCTCTTTAAATTACTTATACTTTGGGGTTTTCATAGAAGAGAAGCCATGCAGTATTTAAACTTCAGTGTCTGACTTATTTCACATAACATTATGATCTCAAGGTGCATCCAATTTCCTAAAAATGGCTCAAATGTATGCTCCTTTATGGCAGAGTAGTATCCCATTGTATGTGTCTAGCTCAGATTCTTTATCCACTCATTTGTTGATAAAGGGCTGCTTCCAAAATTTAGCTGTTATGAGTTGTTTGAGCAGTGGAAGAACTTAATGAGAGAAAAGAGATGGTGTCTTAGTCACTTTCCTACTGGTGAGATGTACTACCTGACAGCCAAAACTTAAAGGAGAGATTTATTTTGGCTCCCAGTTTCAGAGGTCTGAATTCTTGCATGATCACCTGGCTCCAAGGCAGAAAAAGCATGTTGGAAGGGCCTGGTGGAGGAAAGCTGCTCACACAAAGCCCAGGAAGAGAAAGAAAGGCCAGAGAGACAAAGGAGGAGCCAGGGTGGAGGTGGGGTACATCCTTCCAAGTCACACCTCCAGTGACACCCTCCTACCAGGCCCCACCAACTAACAGCACATTTGGCTCTGAACTCATGTGTGGTGGATTCATCCACTGAGGAGTACAGCACCCCATGTTCCAATCACCTTCCTGAAGCTCCACCTCTGACCTTTTGAGGCCTTTGGAGGACACCCCACATGTAAACCATAATAGATCGTAAGTGGGAAGTTATTCCTAGATGCTACAACCAAAAGAACTTCCAAACAGTAAAAGAGATGAGGGTCCAAATGGAAGTCAGAACTTGAGCTATAAAACATTCTGGGACTGGTGGTGTATCTCAGTTGTAGAGGATATGTTTAGCATGCTTACGACCCCAGGTTCAATCCCCAGCACCAAAAAACCCCCCAAAAAACCCAACCAAATAATAATAACAAACAAGAAGAACAAAAATTTTAAAGAATTCCATAGTGGACCACATCAAAATAAACCACTGGACAAATTTCACTAATACCTTCACTGGAACACAGATAAAATGAATAGGTTGTTTTTATCTAGAATATTGGGAAGTGATTTTTATTTTTGCAAAATGTTTTTTTAACTTAATTTAATTCTAGTACATAAATGATTAAAATATCTTGATTAGAAAAACTTGGAAAGTTTTGAAGAAGATATAATGACAGACATATAGACATTTCAAAATTATTAGCTTTTGATTAGTGTATTTCTTAGTTTGGAAAATAGAAATTATAGTTTTATATTAAGCCAGGGAAGAGCATAATTTGTTTAAAAATGACCTTGCTCATTGAAGGACCAAAAAGAAAGGCATGACAGGTATTTTTCCCTCAGTAAATTAAACTATAAAACTGTACTTATGGAACAAAATATTAAAAATACTGGAAGATTTTGTTAATGTTGATAATTTCAGAGAAATTAATCAACTACTTATTGATTTAAAAGTTCATTTTTTTCAATAGTTTCGGTATCTTGCCATGGAGTATTCGCCAAGCCTAACAGGAAAGTGCAATATGTAGAATATTTTAAAATTTATATTAGTTCTGTAGCCACTTTGGTTTTTTTTTTTTTTTTTTGTCACCAGGGATCAAACTCCGGTCCTTGTGCTTGCTCAGCAGGTGGCGAAACCACTCAGCTAAATCCCCAGCCCTCTGTAGCCACTTCGAATGGATAGACAAACTTTAATAATAAATTCTATATCAAATTATTTTCAATTAATTTAGTAAGCCAGGCATTTTGAAAACTTACTTGAATAAAACACCATAATAAAGTTGAAGCTTAGTCAAATTTTAATGTTAATGTTTACTCTTTTTTGAAATATTTTTATAAGATATAGATGTACCCTAGTTGAATTTTGTGTCTTAGTGTAGGATTTACAAATTTACTGCAGGTATCCTGAACCAGGAATACAATCAGATTTTAGGGCAGTTTGATATTAACTATTCTAAATTCTCATGTGAGTGTAGGACCTCAGACTAAATGTTATATAAGGTGACCGCTGTGTGTAGAACTTAATAATCATTTTCTTCAGACTTGAATGAGAGTAATAAATACAATTTGGAGTCATAGAACATTAATGTACAATTTAAGGATTTAAAATGCTTGTAAGCCTGATGTGAACAATGGATCATTATATTAAATGTTGATTTCCTGGTGTAAATTAGCAAAAATAAAAGCAAGTTTTCCAGCTTAAAACAAGCAAACAAAAAATGGATTTTTCCATGGTATATTTTTGAGATAATAAAAACTATATATTTGATCTAAGGATTATATGTAAGATATAAGCTTTATCTTTGCTACTGGGCAATATTTTGTGTCTCTACTATAGCATGGTAGCAACAGTTTTTAAGGGAAATAATTCCTTATAATTCTTTAACCCTCAATAGAAATATAAAGTAGTTGCTTAATAGTTATTACAGGTTGTTAAGTGAACTACTAGTCCATGTCTATGATATTGCTGGGCTTAGTGTGGATATCTTATGAATCAAAATTATTAATGAGATCCATTATTTTATAGGTTAAAGTATATTTAAAGAAGGAGTTTGAAAAGCATGGTGCAGTAGTGAATGAAAGTCATCATGATGTTTTGGTGGAGGATATTTTTGATAAAGAAGATGAAGATAAAGATGGATTTATATCTGCCAGAGAATTTACATATATACATGATGAGTTATAGTGATGTCTTCCCATTTTATATAGCATTTATTTTGAAGAGAAGGCAAATGTCTTTAAAGAAAAATTTTTTAAATGATCTGTTCTTGCTTTTTAAAATTTTTGTATTATTTTTCTGACTTATTTAAATAATCCTTTAGGGTTTCTAAGTACCCATTTCTTTCTGGTAAGTTATTGAGAAGAAACAACTAATTTGTCTTTGAATGGAAGACTTTTGGACCATTTTTCACTCTATTATTGTGTCACTTGTATTTTAAAATTGCCACCAGGAACATGCCACAATATAAGACCAGGTTATAGCATAAATCAGTACCTTGTATTTCTACTTCCCTTTATATTCTCAAAGTTAGATACTGACATTTGAAAAGCCTTTTGTAATAACTCAAGGCTTGCTATTTTCATGTTATAATGAAACAGTTTGTCTTTAACTGTTTTTGAGTCTCTTCTTGAGGTCAGGAGGAAAATGGTGGACTTTTTATTAACGGTTACTGCTTTACTGCAACACGGAAGTGAGGAGCAATTCATGGATATGTGCATATTGGAACATTCTGCTTTGGACTAAAACTAAATAAGGTTTGTTTCTAACAACTATGACCTACTAAAGTCATTTATGTCTTTTTTTTTTTTTTGGCAGTACTGGGGATTTAACCCATGGCCTACATCCCCAGCCCTTTTTTTTCTCTTTTTGAGACAGGGTCTCGCTAAGTTTCTGAGTTGCCCAGGCTAGGCTCCAACTTGCGATCCACCTATGTCAGCCTCCCAGAGTGCTGGGATTACAGGCCTGGGCCACCACACTTGGCTTTAATGTTTACTTTTGAAGGATAGCAGATTACCCACCTGGTCCTTTAATGAGTAAAAATACAACCAGTAGCCAGGCATGGTAGTACACTCCTGTAATCTGACCACTTTGGAAGGCTGAGTCTAGATGAAGCACAGTTTAGAGAATTTAGTGACTTAGCAAAACCGTGTCACAAAATAAAAAAGTGTTGGGGGCAGAGCTCAGTGTGAAGGCTTTGGGTTCAATCCCTAGTACCACAAACAAACAAGCAAACAAACACAAAATAAAAAATCTTAAAGCTCAACTAATGTGTAATACTACAATAATATTACATCATAAGTAAAACTAGTAAGCCAAAATTTTCTCATTTGTGTCTCATCAAAAAATGAGGCAGCTCTAAGGATGGTGATGCACAGTAATCCCAGCTGCTTCAGAGGGTGAGGCAGGAGGATCTCAAGTTTAAGGCTAGCCTCAGCAATTTAGTAAAAGCCCAACTCAAAATAAAATAAAAGGGCTAGGGGTATAGCTCAGTGGCAGAATACTTGCCAGGCAGGGCAAAGTCCTGGGTTCAGTCCTCAGCACCAGGGTAAGGGTGGCAGGGGCAGATCTATAGAAGCTACTATTGAAGAGGTGCCTATCCTGGGTTTTAAAAAAAGGGATGATTTTATAATTTTATCTCAAATTAGCTCTTATCCTTAATACTTAAAAAGTCTCTATTTACTAAGACCAGCCCTTTTTAGTTTACAAAAGCATATTAAGTGTACTATTATTACTCGTGGTGCTGGGATCGAACCAAAGGCCTCCTCCATGCTAGGCAAGCACTCCACCACTGAGCCTCTCGCAGGGCCCCTCAGGTGCATTATTGTCTTTGATTCTCATTACTCTTGAGTCTATGAAAAATGCTAGTGGATCTTCCAGTGCCTACTTTATAGATGAGAAAATTGTCGTTCAAAGAGACTGCTGTGTCCAGCGTCAGCAGCTAATCTGTAGAACCAGTTTTCAGTCCCCGAATTCAGCGTCTTCTTGCTACCTTCTACTAAAAGATGGTAGGTTTGAATCCCTTGGGCCTAATTCTCTTAGGTTTGCTGTCTGTTGCTTGTCTTTGGGTCCTTCTCCTTTGAGGAAGGTTTTCTGGTTGTCTCTGGAGTATCAGACTTCTCCCCATGATTCAGGAATGGCCTTGGTTTTACAGAATAATTTTGGGTTAGATCTGAATTGCCTCAGACATTGCAAGCAGCAAGAGATTACAGGTCTTAGATCTTTCATTCCTGATAACTGCCACTGTTTTTATTTTAAAGGATTATGAACAATTACATCATATATAGACTATTTTCACTGATTATATATTGAGATTTCCTTCACGAAAACATGAATATCTTGGGAAGAATATAACATCTTTCTCTGAAGAAAGCAGCTATATCTTGCAAATTATTGTCACTGATGTTTTCCTGAACCTAAAAAGGCACAGAAACTCAAGATACAGAAAGCCTTACATTATAGCATGTGGAAAGGTGGCTTGTCCTATGGTGCTTTGTGTGACATTACTAGTGCCATATATGGTAGAGCAAAAAGAGTTAAAAATGTTTGTGATTATTCATCTTGTATGAATTTGCATCAGTTCTCATCTAAGTATTTGGACATAAACCCACATACATACATTATGGTTGTACTTAAGTTACCAGCCTTTTGTTTTAGCTATTTACATTCTTCCATTAGTGTGAGCATACTCAGACATGAACTGTGACTTCACATACATGTAATGACTCAATACTGTTCTATGTGTCATGTTTAAATTTGTATGACTGTGTTGTTCAAAATAAAGTTTATTTGGAAAATAACTGATTTTATTTTTAAAAATCCTTAAAGCACTAATCTCCTTAACAGGTTTATGTATTTTCCTTTTTTCTGAGGATGGAGGTTGAGACCCAGGGCCTTGTGCATGCTAAACATGTGCTCTATCACTGAGTTATATACAAGTCCCTCTTGTTATCTAGGTTTAATGGAAAAATGGAGGAAAATTGACAGGTAATGGAAGGAGAGGGGTGTAATATTTAGGGTTTACCTCTGTGATATTTAGAGTTTACCTCTGCTTATCACTCTATTTAGGTATATTTGTCAGAAAAGCTGTGGTTTGGTTTAAGGTATTTTGAAATTAACATTAAACCATGAAACTTAAGAAGGTAATCATTAATTGTGAATTTTTAACATGGGAGAAAGCATTTTTTATTTTGGGGGGCTTTCTGTGGGAAGAGGAGAGGATGGTGGTTATTACTGGTTTGGGATTTTATTGTGTGTATACCAGGTGGACATTATGATGATTTATGCCTACTGAGTAAATAAGTGCTATAAAATGCCTTATGTAATTATGTGAAATGTTGGGTTCCCATAAAAATAACAAGAAACAAGGATTTCTGGTTCACATGAAGCAACTAGAAATGTTGGATGCCATAAAAATAACAAGAAACAATGATTTCTGGTTCATATGAGGCAACTAATCATTTTCTTTGTAGGAATGTAGTTGTACTTTCCTTTTACTCATGATACAGGATATTGTTTACATCTAGAATGTTACAGATTTCAGCTTGCTACCATATCTCCTCACTGAATTAAGTATATGGATAACTTCTTAGTGTTTGGACATTGTAAGAGAAAAGGAATTTGGCATGTTATGGGAAAAAACTTTTCTCACTTTTTTATTAAAAAGGTAAATTAGCATTATCATAAAAAGCCTGGGGAAAAATAACAATGAATTCCTTGTCCAGAGCTGTAGAACACTTGAACATTTTTGTTTTCACTTTAGCATGAGTTGAAATCTAAGGTGTTAAACATGATTATAAATCATATGCCTATTTAAAAACATTAATGTAGTACTTCCATCTAATAATATCTGTAGCATTCTTTTTTTTTTTTTGCTTAAATTCTTTTATTGGTACATTTTAGGTATACAGTATGTTTACATTTATCATTGGGTGCTTGTACCTGTACATGATGTATCTTGGTTCTTATTTTTTTCCCCATTACCTGTCCTCCACCCCTTCCACCCTTCCCTATTTACAAAGACTTTGTTTCCATTTTTTCCTTTTCTCATAATTTTTCTTTTTCCTTCTTTCCCTTCCCCTTCCTCTCCCACTTCCTCTATCCCTTTGGACCTTTTCTTCCTATTTAAAATTATCAATTATTTGTTTTTATCATTTTAATCCTTATTTACACTTTCAGTTTCTCACACTAGAGAAACTATTTGGTGTTTACACATGTGTGTCCTATTTATTTCACTTAAGAAGATGGCCTCAATATGCCTCCACTTAGCTATAAATGTCTCTAGTTTCTCATTCTTTATGGCTGAGTAGTACTCTTATTTTCTAAAAAAAGAAACCACATCTTCTTCATCCAGTTTCCAGTTGATGGGTACTTGGGCTGTTTCCAAGCTTTAGCTATTACAAACTGTGCCACTATAAACATGGGTGCACATATATCGCTGTGGTATGGTTCTTTTAATTCTTTTGGGAAGATACCCAGCAGGGGAATAGCTGAGTCAAATGGGACTTCTAGTCCTAGTTCTTTGAGATATCTCCATACTGATTTCCACAGTGGTTGCACCAGCCTGCACTCTCACCAGCAATGAGGAAGGGTTTCTTTCTCTGCACACCCCTGCCAGCATTTGCTACTGGTTGATTTCTTTATAGCAGCCATTCTTTCTGGGGTGAGGTGGAATCTCAGTGTTGTTTTCATTTGCATCTCTCAAATGGCCAGTGATGTTGAACATTTTTTCCTATGTTTATTTGCTGCATTTACTTCTTTGTCTGAGAAATATCTGTTCATTTCAGATGCCCATTTTTTAATTGGGTCTTTAAATTTGGAGGTTCTGATTTTTTTCAATTCTTTATATACTCTAGATAGTAGTCCTTTGAGGTACAGCTGCTAAAAATTTTTCCCCACATTGTAGGTTGTCTGTTAGCTCTGTTCGTGGTTTCTCTTGCAGTGTAGAAGCTTTTTAATAAGATGAGATCCCAGTTAATTCTTTGTGCTAGTTCCTGTGCTACTGAGGATTTGTTCATAAAGTCTTTTCCTATGCCATTGTCTTCGAGAGTTCTAGCTAACTTATCTTCCAGCAAGTTTAGTGCTTCTGTTTTAATATTAGATCTTTAATCCATTTCTATCTTAGTTTAGTGCATAGTGATAGGTATGGGTCTAGTTTTAATATTTGGCAGGTTGAAATCCAGTTTTTCCAACACCATTTATTAGAGAGGCTATCTTTCCTGCAGTGAGGGTATTTGGCTCCTTTGTCAAAGATGAGGTGGTTGAGTATGTCTGGAGTTGTTTCTGTATCTTCTAATCTGTTCCACTGGTCCTCAGGTCTGTTTCATTGCCAGTACCATGCTGTTTTTATCACAGTAGCTTTGTAGTATAGTTTCAAGTTGGGGATT